GAAACATGATAACGGCGGGAGGTTATGTCGCTTGCTTCAGCAAGGCGGGCAGACGTCAAAAATTCTCTGACCGAAAAGTGAGAGAATTGTATGGCTTTTCCGAGACCACGTTCATCGATAATGGAGAATAAGCTAGAGCATGTGGATAGCACCGCGTCTACTGGATTTTTTGGGCGCCATTTCTCATAAAATTTCGGGATTGGTCTTGCTTTGAAATCAAATGCGAGCAAGTCCGCGAGTTCCTCGACATGAAGCGGCCGGGAAGCCACTGCGACGAACTGAAGCAGGCGATGGGCAAATTCCCACTTTGCCTCCTTGATCCCTCGCAAGATGCGCTGATATGTCTCGTCGAGCGTACTTGGCAAATTCGCTAACGCGTCCTCGAGACCTGCTGGCGGGCAGTCACAGATGTAGTCGACCTGACACTTCACCCATTGGAACCTGTATCATGAAATGAGTGAGATTCGTCAAGAATTTAGTATTGATGCCTTACATCCCGTCAGACTTTTCTGTGAGGACGCTTGTGACCCGTCGCTGGTCCTCAGCTTCCCACTCATTTTCTGGATGCATATCAATGACGGACGTGATGAAGCTCTCAATGTCCCATTTTTGTCCGCTTTCATCATGCAGAGAAACGGAGCGGAAAATTAATGGGCCGAGAACTTCTTTGATGTCGGGCTCTGGTCGACTAGTGGCGCAAATGTGAAGATTCGGAATTTGTGATTCGATAAGCTCCTTTATGAGGTTTAGGACTTTGGCTCGGGGCGATCGGATGGCAGACGTATTTGGACATTCATCCAAAGCGTCAACAATGAGGTAGACGGGGGCTAGTCCAGGAAGTTTAAGTATGCCCTTTAAACATTTCGCAAGGGCATCGTCGCTTGGATGACGAGAACCGCTGGCGTGTTCCGAGTAAAACTTGAGAAGAAAATCACAGTAGGTGTCGGATTGATGACAAAGTTGGACTATGAGGGATGAGAGAAGTCCGCGAAGGTTCTTCTTTTCTTCCTCCCGAAAATCACAATAGAAGAATCCTAGTGATGCGAGCCCAGCTTTCAGCATGGCATCAATCTCCTGAACGATTGTAGAGCTAGCCAACACGATAAGTTCTAAATCAGGAATATCAGGAATTCTGACGTACCAGAATACGCTCTTTCCAGCGCCCGCTATCAAACAGGAGAAATTTCAGTCGTTGAAGAAGCATAAGAGTTAAGCTCTAACGGACGCTTTCCATGAACCCATAAAAGAGAACCATAGATCTCAGACGCTTTCCATTCTGAAAACGTGTTGCCCTGGACGAACCAAGCCGCGGACCCGTGGTGGCGTAACTCGCAGGAAATGTTGTGATTCTTCCAAGGATCAGGTGGCGATAGCCACTTGCGAGCGTCTCGCTCTAAATTGTCACCTAACAAGACAATCTCGGTGATCCCAGTCAGCTATCCAAGTAGTAATAATCACTGACGCTTCAACTTGTTTATATCGTTCGTCATTTGCTGCATGATTTCTGACGCCCAGTGAGATACGGACTCGCTTAATTGTGACAGTAACATACCGAGGGCATCCCTGACACCATCGATCGAAGATTTTCCGTCTAGAGAGAAAGATAAACAACACTCAACGGGCGACGAGCCTTGTAAATTTGCTTACCGTCTATTACCACCTTCATATTCTGGACAAGACCATAGACGACCTCGAGGGTTTGCGTGGCAGTGATTCGAGCCTCGTCCCGGGTGAGTCGGTCTAACCTCTTGAGCACCGCCTCGATGTCCTTGTCTCCAAGAAGCTTCTTAGCAAGTTTTTCTGCGTTGCATTGTGTCAGAGAGTACAATACATCACCGAAGACGGACTCACTTGGCATTCCCTGCTTCATCTGTTTGGTTGCCAACGCGAGGATTGAGAGAAGCTCCACGAGTATCTTGACAATCATTTCAATCATAGGAACTGTAGGAGGGACCTTGATATAGACGTCGAGGCGATTCAAAAAGTGTTCGATAGACTCGAACAATTCGATCAGCGCATCGTAGTCGTCAATGACGCCTTTGACCGTCTGATACACTGGAAGTCAGGAGAACGCGCACTTAGGACTAAAGTAAGGCACATACAGAGAGCAGGACCGCGAGGCCTGCCTGTAATGCTTTCACAGGTGTAAAATGCTGTAGGATTAGAATCAGAGACAACGCAACACATAATTAGGGCCCACGGCGTACCAAACTGAAATCTTGACCAAGGTTGGCAGTGGTAGAAAGTTTATATAGGACTGATAAGACATTTTTGAGAGGGTTCATGAATTTTTCCCTTCCCCGGAATTCATTGAAGGCTTGTGTTTGGTCGCGGAGAACGGCAGTAAAGGATTCGACTGAGTCACAATCCTGGAGCTGACTGACGAGTGGATGTTCGGCCAATGCCGTGCCCGTCTGCTTCTCGTAATCATGCAAGGCAGCCTCGAAGAGCCCCTGTAGACGGGACGATCCTGACTGGTCACTCATGACAGATGTGAGGAAGAAATGGGGAGTTGGTCCGCTAGGAAGCTTGGAAGAAAATGATGGAGGTGGACGTACTGCGGCCTGGCCTCACTTCTCGCGGGCCCCGGGGGCCAGTCTCTGAACGCAATGTAATTGCCTAAGGTGGCGAGAACGTCGTTCGGCTGTCGCGGCCCGAGTGTACAGGCCAATACAGTAGACATGACCACGAGCAATGTATATGTCTATTTACTGGAAAGGTATCTATGGTACAAGGGCAAAGTACCCGGTATACTAGCTAGAAAATGGGAAGGGGTTTTCGAGCCGCGACAGTTAGCGGAAGAATTGCTCTGTATGGAGCTGACCCTTCTTCTGAACCAAAACAGGCGGAGAAACCTGCCGAATGAAGTATGAGAGCCCCCGCCCTGGAGAAAGGGTGAGGGCAGAGTAGAGTAGATGCCCTAGAGGTGTTTGGGAGGTACTAGTCGCGAGTCGTGAAGGCCTGGAAGGTTGGTAAAATAAAAAAAGACGAGCGAACAGGCGTACTAGCGTAGGCTCCATCATATCCGCCAAAAAAACGCGTCTTCGATCTGGAGTTCGACGAAATCGCAAGGATAAACCCGAGTATAGTCGTGAACATGGAGAGATGGTGGATGCCTCACCAGAACAAGTTGCAGAATGCCGCGGGGAATGTCCTGTGTAAGAATGAACGGCGAGGTGTGGTCCCACCCCAGGTCAGCCTAAGACGATGGTTTGAAGAGTTCTTCCGAGTCAATGGGCGTGGCAAAGAAGAAGTACTGGGCTTATTTGAGAGTACAACCAAGGCAATATGTCGCTGGGTACATGAAAATACCATCGGAGAAAAGGTTACCGATAAGCGAATTAGCGAACCGCATGCATCAGTAAATCATGGAAATTCTTGTGAGGCAGTGTGGTGTTCACGGGGTTGACACAACCGGGTATAAGGTCACAATGTCTTATGAGCAGTCGTACTGCGTTGTGGGTTTCGCCACGTGCTTACATTACAGTCGCGAGTTTAATCCCAGCTGTTATGAAATCATAAGGTCATGTGAGCCCTATGTCAGGTTGTGTCGAAAGCATATGCCATTGTGAGAACAAAACAATATTATTCTTACCATTTGAGGCCTTTACACCAGCTGTTCTGAAATCATAACGTCGTGCGAGTCCTAAGTCAGGTTGTGTCGAAAGCGTACGCCGTTCTGAGAGCACCACAACATTATTCTTAACTTTTGAGGCCTTCACAAGGTTCCCCGCAGGTTGACACACCGTAGGTTGACGCATTGATCAGAGGATGAGGGGCATGCAAGAATGATATTGATGGTGAAATTAAGGACAAATACTACTACTACAGTACTACTACAATGTGTGGTGATGAATAGCTGGACAGCGCGAGCCATTTCAGATTACCGTAGATCCGAGAGAGCGCGTTGACCTCCCACCGCCCATATATGAAGCCGACATACAGCATGGTCGTCCCTAGCCAGGTGGCGGCGGCGCTTCCTAGTACGACAAATGGTGTTGCCCCGGTTGGGAACCAACTAGCGGTGGCTGCAGAGATAGGAGGGTCCCAACGCTAAGTCCAAAGAGGGACAAGTGGCGCTTCGCACGTGTGAGAGAATAACGATAACATGAAGTAAGATCTCCAAGAACGGCACTTGCATCGGCCGCCGTGAGTCTCGCAGTCTTCTGGACTGGCGCAGGCACGGAAAGCGCAGAGATATTGGCCATTGGCTGGTTCTGTGCCATGCGCAGTTCGTTATTGGATGTCGTAGAGCGAGCATGGTCAAGGTACTTGATTTGCAGTGTTGCTGAGACACCGAATGGTCCGAGTACGAAAATGGTGACCCAGGAACCGGCTCTGTGAGGAGCACACGTGCGCTAGTCGCGACGAGTGAGGGTAATTGGGCAGCTGGGGATAGGGGTGGGGTCGCGGAAAAGAATATAATCGAGGCGCTTTCCTTGCCATGCAATCGCATGGGCAACAAGGTGTTTGCCAGCGGAGTAGGAATTTAAGGGTGAGTCGGCGATGACGCCGAACGTTTCGATGGCTTGTGAAAGGGATGGCATGGAGGTTGACGAGGCGGGGGTGGGTGAATATGGAGGGCGGGTTACCTCCCATGCATCGGACAACGAGGCTGGTCGCGGATGATAGTCATCGGGAGAGTCGTCGGGATGGTGTTGAAATCCCCAGCCTGACTCCACCTATAAGATTGTGTCCCAGTCATGGAGATTGAGAAACCTTACAGCTATCACATAGCGACAGAGCTCAGCGGCTTGCTTCTGTTTGTATGTGCCATGTACTCCAGATTTACGAGTGGGACCCTGAGATCACGATTGCGCAAGTGCAACTTGTGTTTGAGTCTAGTGTTAGCGTGCAAATGGTGTAAACAATGCTACGCACATGGGATTGATCTGGTGTGCCATTTCCCTCATATTGCACTTTGCGTCGGTAGTTTGTCCGTTGCGCCAGTGTGCTTGTACATATTTGGTTGTTCCAATCACGCGCATTGAAACAAAAATGACAATATCCGGGATTTGAACCCAGGTCCCCCTACTGCTCCAAAATATATGCCAGATGCTCTAACCACTGAGCTACTTAACATTGGGTCCGGCTGATCTCAAGCACACTTTATATTCTGATGCATCAATCTGGACTATCGAATGAGCGTTGTCGACTTAGCAAAATTTTGTTTCTGTTGGGGCTGGCGTGGGAAACGGATTTGTCAGCAAGTTGAACTTGAACTTCAGCTTCAACAGAACAGTTTCGCTTCAAACAACCATCTTCTTCCTTTGTCGCCTCTTCCTCCTTTGTCACTATGTCCCAACCCCTCTCCAGCTTGCCAGTCTCATCTCATTCCTGTGTGTGCCCTGGTATTCTTTTTCTCTGTGCGGTTCTTGTTGTTGCAGAAAAAACTCACGCGTTGCGTGCTGGCATATATAGCGAGTGGGCTGGGACACCCTCCGTGCGATTGAGGTGACGCCTGCAGTTCACTTCTGAGACCTACATCACGCCAGTAACATATCGCGCAGACTCAGACTCAGAGTCACACGGAATCAGCTGTATGTGGACGCTGTTGTGCATGTGGTTACCCAGTCGAGTTCTGACCAGAATATTGCTATCGAACAATAACTGCAGAGTCATCCCCGAGTCAAGCCAAGCGTGCTTCAGATCGCCAAAAAAATGTAGGCGTCCAAGATGGTCGAGGTGAGTGGTAATACGTTTTTCTTTTGGTATGGGTGCTGAGTTGAGCGATACACCTGCAGCTTTGCTTAGCCAACAGTTTCCTATCGGAGCACTTCCCGATGAGGTCTTTCTAGAAATATTCAAATGCTATGAGACCCATAACATTTATTACCGCTGGTATTCATGGCCTACCTGGCGCAGGTGTGCCAAAGATGGCGTCATGTCGTTGCTGCATCACCACGTTACTTGGGCCTGCAGATTTTTAACATGACAGGTAGATCTGCGAGCGGCATGATGAGTGGATGGCCTTGTGGATACACGGAAAACGTGCGTTACTCTTGACCTTTGCCATCCGACGACCCTGATCATCCCTTTTCTATAGCCGGTTCAGGAAAAATCATCGTTTGATTCGTCGTTTATTGAGTCTTTCCACTGTTTGAAGCTGACATCATAATTCTACTTTGTCAATCATACATATGCATACATCCGCGTTGATGTGCAAGATGTCCATGTCGACGTGCAAGATGTGCAAGACATCTGTGTCGATGTGCGAGATGTCCGTGTCGATGCGATGTGCGATGTGCGAGATGTTGGCAATCTGGTTCAAGGTGTCGATGATAAATTAGACCAGGCCAACCGCTCGCCGTTCGTTATCTCTCGACCCTGATAGTCATTCCGCGCGCTCACGTACTTGCATCTCTCTGCAGCAGACTTATGCGGCCGTGCTAACGGCATTCCGGGCAAGGAAGGGTGGGTCCGGTGGCGCTTGGGGTGCAAAGATTTGGATGGGTGGATCATAGGATCGTAGTGGACATGTACTCGATACTAAATCATGTGTTGATTGAAGGATCGTATGAAACGCAAGCACTCAATATACTTTGATTACTAAATTGTGCGTTGATTGAAAGGATGTACAAGACCCACACACTCAATATAATCCGATACCAAATCGTGTGTTTATCAAAGGGTTGTATGAGGCGCACGCACTCAATACCAGCTGATAAATCACTCACGAATAAGAACCCGATCACAACAAATTCATCCTTACCACATCGGGGTATATTGGTCTCACGACTTATACGCGGCTCGCCAATTTCACATAGACGTTTGAGGCATTGCGATATCTACAAACAGATCACAACACGGATGACTACTCGCAACACATGACATTGCCTCACGACGCCTCATCGGATCCTCCATGATTTACTGATGTGTTCCAACGTCCCTCCATGACATCCCACGTCTCAACCTCGGTTATCGACATTGTTGTGAATGGTAAAGGTAAAGTGGGCCAACATGATATCTCGGGGGGGCTGATATCCAACGCACGGAGGAGAACCGCACGGGTCAAACATTCAGTCGCGACGGCGTCCAGACAGTCTTATTGAGGCATTGAGAAGTAAGATAATGTACAGTGGTAATAGTTCTAAATCTGAAAAGACACACGCGCTACTGTACAACACTGGCACTTCAAATGCGGGAATGGAAAGGGTGAGTCTGAAGGCGCATCGGGCGGCGGAGGCGGAACTCACGTACTTTGTATTGTCCGAGAAGGTCCATCTACGCACTGAGGTAGACTCGGAGTAGAATGGCGACCTGAACGAGGCTTCACTAGCTTCACTGGCAAATTGATTCGATAACCGCTGGTATATCGAGCCTAATGGCCTAATGGGTGGTCTAGCGTGAGAGAATCGCGCGATAATAGAGCGTGGTCTTTGGGGAGCGCGGGGCGCAAAGCACGTGGTTATCTATTCTCCTGCCACCGTGACAGCTGCTGCCGCGCCGCGCCACTCGTTTACTCGCTCTTTTCTTTTCCCCCACCCACCACTCCCATAGAACTCAGACAGAGGAGACTCAGCCTTCCGGCCTGTCAGCGATTAACAAAGAGTAAGACTTATCGCCACCAAAATAGAGCGGTGTGGTGGCGTGTGACCTAGCTACGCGCAGCTATGCAATATGCAATACTCCGTGTGGTGGTCGAAAGTGAGCTTGGGCCGCCTGGCTGCAACGTATCTGTCTGAATTATTACTGCGTGCTGACAGTGTGCTGACACGTCGAGCTCAAGCCAGTCATCAAGTGACTTTATTTCCGAGATAGTGTAAGGTGGGCAGTCTCGCACAGGCCGTTGTCACCGCTCTTGCACTGCTCTTGGCCCGTGCTCATCTCGCCCGCGCTCACTTAGGAATTCCTCTTGTCCTCGATACGAACTAGCACCTATTTCTCTATTACACCTGCGACGCGCGCGCAGTCTTGTCCCTCTTAGCCGACATTACATTCAGTTCATGCTGTCACGTGTCGCACGGTCACACTAGTGATGCGCGTCGACGTCGATCGACATCTTTTCACAGTAGTCGCTCCTCTCATGTACAGTACTTAAGCACGCGAGGACGGACTCCACCTATCTAATCAGGTTTCTCTCTCTGTCTGCTTCCCTGCGTGTCTTCCCTTTCTCTGCCGTCTGCCACCTGCACTACGACCCGAATGACGCTGTGCCAACCCGAGCCGCCGAGCCACCTTGTGTATCATCTTCGGGTCTAGCGCTGACCTTCCCTTTCTTGGGTCTTCGGATCTCCCCTTTTCCCGAACTCACAAGCGCGCTACTCAGCTGCGCTACAATAGCAAGGCACTTGTTTAATTAGAGCGCGCGCCCGGAGGTAGGCAACACAGCACGGCCTTTGCCAGTGCTTGGTAACATACTGCGTAACATACTGCGCGCATTCAACCTTTTAGTAATCTGATACGTATACATTCAAAAGGCCAACAGAAAGCCATCATGATGATCATTGCGGTGCCCTTGTTCATGCACGTTCATGCGTCATCTTGCTAGATAGGACACAGCAAGTATGCCAGGCTTACCAACACTAACCCCTATAGGCGGACTTGCTAGCGGATTATACACGCACTGACGCAGTTTATAAAGGAAGGGGGTCGCTGCATCGACAATATCTGCAGTGAACCCTCACGATGTTTCTTCTCACAACCGCATTTACTCTTTCTTTCCTGGGCCTCTTCGCCAATGCCCAGCCCATCGATCATACTGCTCAGGGCATCACTGCTACTGAAGCCCGTTTCAAGGAAGCCGGCCTCGTCCCCGACCTTCTGTCTTCCTTCAACCCCTCCGCCCTCATGACCGTCACCTTCCCCAATGTTGGCCCCATCCCCATCTCACCAGGTCAAAACCTCTCGATACAACAGGTGGCCAAGGCTCCACAGGTCACAGTCACCCCCGCGAATTCCAGCGTCTCGACCACGGGTAACTTCACCCTTATGATGGTCGATGCATTCGCTGCTGGGACGAACGAGTCGAACGGACAGATCCTTCACTGGCTCAACAATTTCGCTACTTTGCAAAACGATCCTTGTTCCTGCCCCTCGCTAAACGTGTCGACTGAATGCGGGGTGGTCGTCACAAACTATGTTTCACCGGCGCCGCCCGTGGGCACTGGACTGCATCGCTATGTTATTTTGTTATTCCCCCAACCTCCCTCGTTCTCGCCTCCCGCGAACCTGAGCAGTCCCAACGTCGGCATAGATCTTTATTTCCATCTTACAGACTACATATCATCCAGTAATCTCGGCCAGCCCATCGCGGGCATGTTCTTTGAAGTCCAATTCAGCCCCGCAAACGTGTGACCACCCACCTCCGCAGCCGTCACGTCGCCCCTCGCTCCTTCCCTCTCATCATCTCCGACCGTGAGTGGCAGCGCGGGCTGATATTCTTGTCCTCATAAATGGCAGCTAACATTAGAATCATTAGGCTATACGACGTGCACGTGAGGCGGTCTAACCCTACATTTTATATCAAAGTTCCGGCAAGGCGACGCGCAATTTTGGACTCAGGGATTTAGACATATATATATATTGTTCCAAGGAAGCTGATTTCGTGATGATACTCGACGCGCTTTACGGCTTGACGATATCTTACATACTCTGATTTTTATTTATAGTAACTGTGAATCTGCATATTCTCGTTATCACAAAATTAATGAGTTGTGTCACTGCAAATGCAACGCAGGCCGAGAAAAGCGTCGGAGTGGGTCAAAAACGAGCCATATGAAAACAAGTATCACAAGATAGTTGATAATGAACGCGTATCATATTACTGTAATTCAAGGTACACGTCAATTTTGTGCCGGTGCCTGCAGCCTTGACGAAACTGTTCATCACGTTCAAAATCCATGTGCATTCCTCTCTGCGCACTGGCTGCCCACTCGCCAGCTGGTGTAAGGCATGCGTCTGTAGGCACGCTCAGAACGGAGCGGAACAACTGTGTCGGAGCGCCCGCCACTAGTGCCACTATTGTACAGTTCTTCTACACTCGCTTGTCATTGTTTCATCTCTTCCATAGCCTCACATTTTCCTTCGCTTTACGATCATCGCCCTTCCCTCGACCTGCAGTGCTCTCTGTCTCTCTTGCTTCGA